TTGTTTATGTTTGTATACAAGAGACTTATTCGATATTCACAAATAATTTAAAACAGTATTATCTCAAACCGCATTTATCAAACAACCACCAGACATCCTTGTTCAACAACTCCATTACGGTGGTGAACCAAATGTTAAAAGTTTTTGAAGACCACTTTCGTTTCAACAAATCTGACCATACTCCATTTGTGACCAAATAAACAATGCATTTCACTTACTCGAGTTCAGATTGATACAAATGACCACACTACAGTTGGTTTCACATTCACTCAGGTAGTAAAAAGCACCTACGTCAAAAGCTTGGTTGACTGGAATAAAAGCTGTGCAATAAGCACAAACATTATGAGAATTGACGTAAGACGGCAAAAATGCTGTTCACAGCTAATAAATAAATGCATCCAAAATACTCGATGATATGTGGTGTGAGCGAGAACACATAGAATAACTTTTCTTCATGCCTGCAATGTGTGCTTGCATCGAATTTTCTAGGTGCTTGCCTCGAATGTATAGAAGTAAATGATTTGCACCAAGTGGAAACTCAAATAAAATAATAACAAAACTGTAGTAACATACGTTTGGCCTCATTGCTGCTGGTTCGAGCCTAAACACGAAGACGTGGTGTACATTCGCGCTTTAGTTATGTTAGCAGCAACAGGCTAGTCTTCACACAATCACGCATATAAAAGAAATAAATTGGAAACAAATATAACCATACAAGTCCGACAAAAGAACAATGAGAATAACGTATTTTATTTTGGGAAATGAGAATACCCAAAGTGTTGAAGTGTTAGTTTACTTCGTTTAATTACTTGGTAAGGTCCTTCGTACGGTTGTTTCAATGGCGTTTTAACTGCGTCGACTCAGACAAAAACTAATTTACAAGTCTCCAGGTCTTTATCAAGTTTTACGCGGTTGTTATGTTCACGCAAAGGTATCGCTTTAATGTTTTGCATTGTTTGTAGTAGACGGCTTACGAAACCACTTGGATCATTTGCCACTGTTGATTCTTGATCAACCAAGTGACCTGGCAATGTTAATTTAGTACCATAAACTAGTTCAGCTGAAGTGAAACATAAATCATCCTTGATGGTGGAACGAATTCCTAGGAGTACGAGAGGTAGTGCATCACTCCATTTCGATGTATCAGCTTGTGCCATCAGTGAGCTTTTCAGTTGGCGGGGAAATCTTCCGACCAGACCATTAGCTACTGGATGACAAGCTGTCGTTTTAATATGGTTCACACTCAGAAGTTTTGTAAACTCCTGAAATATGATAGATTGGAACTGGGGACCACGGTCTGTTGTAACGATTGGTGGTACTCCGTAATTTGATATCCATCGGTCAAGGAATGTGCCTGCTGCTGTCTCTGCAGATGTGTCAGTTATAGGAAATGTTATTGCCCATCTTGTGAACCTGTCCACCGCCGTGAGGATATGCGCGAACGAATTTGATGGTGACAGGGGACCGACTATGTCTAAACGAATGTGTTGGAAGCATTTATCTGGCAGTGGAAACTTCCCAACTGTACTAATTGTGTGTTTTTGAATTTCGCTGCGTTGACATTGCATGCAGCTTCGGGGCCATCGCTTTATATTTGCGTTTATCTTCGGCCACACGAAACGTTCCGTAATCAGTTTAGTAGTAGCTCTGATTCCTGGATGTGAAAGTTTGTGAAAAGGTCTAAATACTTGGCGTCCGCAAGCTTGAGGTACGAAGGGACGGTTACTGACCGTTGAAACGTCACAAATGATAGATGCGTTTGAGAGATGCATTCCGATTGCCGTGCTTCTCGTTGTGAATGTCGATCGTAAGAGGTGTTGAATGAATGACATAGAGGTTTGTGATCCGCCATGTTAGCAAACGTACGCCCTTGTAATAAAAAAGTGTTTGACTGCTAAATCAATGACGAGTAGCTCCTGTCCGAAAGTTCTACAACGTTCTTGAGTTGGTGATACTCGCTTGGAGAAGAATGCTAAGGGAGTAGTGTTACGGGAGAACTGAAGACATTTGGCGGATTAAAACCTTTTATTGTACATTAATAATTTACTGTGTTTTTTGGATGTAATTGTTTTACTTAACTTTTGAACTTGTTTGTTTATATCATTATTTCGGACATTTTGGTTTGTCTTTGGTTTGGTATTTTGGTGCTCTCTTTGTCTTTGGTTTGATATTTGGGATTTTTGCTCCGGGAACCTACAAAATTGAAGGTTTGTTTTATAATTGTTATAATTATTGTTGTTAGAACGACATTTGGTCGACTATTTGTGAATTACGAATAAATTTGGTATCTAAATTGGAACTTGGTTCTGTTGTTAATTTGGGTTCGTAATTTGCAAGTAGATCGATAGTCCGTACTTCAATAACTGGAACGAGCAAAACTTGGACGTAACAAGTAGTCAAGTTGTTTACTCGCTGTTGTGATACTGCCACGACGGCTTTCTGTGACGCGTCCGTACATGGAATCAGGTGGGTTCTGGGGTCAGCATTTAGATGTCATGACATAGTGGCGTTGATAATCATGGACTTTGCTTTTTCGAATGCCGTTTTGGCATCAAAAAGTAGTTTAAATATGTGGTTCCTTTCTTTGTTCATCCCTTTTTTATCACTTTTTTGTAAATCTGTTAACGGTTGTTATACGTCTGCACAATCTGGTAGAAATCGTCGGTAAAAATAACATGTTCCGAGGAAACGACGTGATGGTTTTACTGAAGTAGGTTCAGAGTAATTGATGATAGTGTAACAGCTTAGGTTGGTTGGTTAAGAGTTGACCCCAAACAACCAAGCATATGCCAAAACAGTATTGTTCAAGTATTCATTCACTTCCTTATTTTGTATAAGCGTTATATTCCCTATTATCTTATATTGAATGTTGAGAGCCTTTGTTTGTCTGAACAGATAATCCTACGCTCCACAGTGACTGCGCGAAGATCGAAATAAAAACCTATTCACTACTTGTTTGGTTTCTTCTATCAATAGCACGAGGGTTACCTTAAGGCACGAAAATAGCATCGACTTTCTTCTGAAGTGGTTTAATGCCTTGACAGTTGATGTAATGTCCTAGAAACTCTATGGCTGAGATACCGAATATACATTTCGAAAGATTGACTACGACGCCATGCTATTTAAAACGGTCAAAAAAGATCTGGAGATGCTGGACATGCTCTTCAATTGATGGGCTGGCAATCAAAACATAGTCGATATAGGTGAATACAAAATCTAAACCTCAGGTGACATCGTCCATAAATCGTTGGGAGGTCTGAGCTGCAATTTTTAGTCCGAATGGCATTCTTAAAAACTCAAACAAACCAAAAGGTGTAATGATAGCTGTCTTCTGGTGCCATCTGAATTTGGTGGTATGCTCGCACGAGGTCAAGTTTCGAGAAGGATCGTTTTTCAAGTCAGTTTAATGAGAACTCGTGTATGTGTGGGATTGGGTACCTATCTGGGACGGTTTGGTTATTTAGACATCGGTAATCACCACATTGGCGTCAGTCTTGATCTTTTCTAAGTACCATGTGCAATGGCAAAGCCCAAGGGCTGTTGGATCGTCCAAAGATTTCAAGTTGCATCATGTGTTTGAATTCCCTTTTCGCGGTCTGCAACTTGTGCGGTGGTATTCTTTTCGCCTTGGTACAAATGGGTGGATATGTAGTGGTGATGTGGTGTTGCACTTGATGTGCCGTGCATTCCTTTTGGTAATCAACTTTAGTGATACATTCGTATTTCGTTAGGATATCAGTGAAAAGATTTTTCGCAGGTTTTACTATTCGTATGCCATGAATTTCACAATCGGTCGTAAGAGTACCATTCACCTGCAAACGTCTATTCTAGTCAATCAACTTCCTTTTGTCCGTGTCAACCAACAAACTGAAGGTGCTGATAAAACCGGCCCCGAGAATGAGTTGCTTGACTTGAGCGACTATAAAAACCCACGTAAATCTTCGGAGCCCGAGACCCAATACAAGGGATTGTTCACCATAAGTTCTAATGACCATGTCGTTAGCCTCGATAAGAGGCAGTTTGGTACTTGTCGTTTGTTGTCGTCGTGAGAGGTGAAGTGGGATGATGTTTATTTCTGCTCCTGTTTCAACTAAAAAGTCTGAGCCAGAAATACGGTTCCTGATATGCAAAAGGCGGCTAGTGTGTTGGCCAGTAACAGACGCCGCCATTACCGTCTGGCCGGCTCGTTTCCCTGGTTTTCCTGCTTGTTTGTTGTAAATTTGCACGGTTGTGTGTAGCGACGTGCTTTCTCAACATACTTCAGATAATACCAACAAATACCAGCTGACCGCTTGGGTGACCTAGGGCGCTGTCTGGACACTGATCATTCTCTGGATGTGGATCCAGCAGGTCTGGAATGGGTCGTTGCTACAGTTACCTGCAGTGATGCTAGCTGCCTTGTTAACTGTGTTAGCTGTTGCTGGATGTTGAATGTGTGACTCAAACCTTCTTTACTGGAGGCTTGAATCGGGGTATATTTCCATCGTTTTGTCTGCCAAATCTTCTAGGTTGACAGAATTCCCAGACACGCCAAGGATCTGTCTCACATTGTGTGGTAAGGGTTGAAAACACATTTGTTTAAGCGAGGTTTCGTCTAATTTGTACGGACCTGAGAGTTGTTTCATATGCCGTAACAAGTGAGATGGTCTCTTGTCACCTAGTTCGCATGCTGTTAACAGTTGCAGAGGTCTTTTTTCGTCAGATACTGATATGCGTTGTACTACAGCTGCTTTAATTTTTTGGTAAGAATCGGTCTCTGGTACTTGGTCGATCAGGTCTCGACTTCAGTAGCGATTTAGATAGGGAGTGCGCTTGTCATTCAAATCCCCACAATGTTAGGCGTTAAGTCAATAAGTGAATACTAAAAGATTTTAAAGTTGTCACGTCGTCCAAAAATTTGTGTTAGAGTAAAAGCCTTCATCCTTATACTTCGAATGACCGATTGAGCAACTTGCTATTTTGTTTTTCTTTTCTATTGTCATCTACATTTCATCATTCTCATTTTACAAGCGGTTGGTTTGTGTAAAGTATGAGTTTAAGCGGTACCAATGGTAGAGTTCCATACGACGAGGAGGTGGGGTTTTTACCAACCTCAAAAGATAGTCCTGATACGAATGAAAATGAAGCAGGACAAAAGGACACCTATCGTTTACTTACAAGAGAAGACTTGATGCAGCTAGACAGCAAAGAGCCGTTGTGGTTACGTCTTCGATGGGGTCTATTTATATTGTTTTGGATTGTTTGGATTGGACTCCTCTTAGCGGCAATCTTAATAATAGTGTTCACTCCCAAGTGTCCTCCAAGACCTGTTCTGCCTTTCTGGAGATCAAGTACTGGGTATTGGGTCAACCCATTTGCTTACGCGGATTCTACCGGTGACAAAATCGGAGATCTACGAGGTTAGTTAAGTTCATATCCTTCTTCTCTTACGTTTAGGCTTGGTCGAAAGACTGGGATATATCAAAAGTACTATAGGTGCGGGATTCATTGTCCTCAGTTCTATTTTCTCCGGTCAGTTTACTAATGACCAGAAAACATTGGGTCTTGTGGACGATTTCTATACTATTGATCCTGCAGCTGGTACTATGGAAGATTTTAAGTATTTTGTGAGGTCGTGCCACAAAAATGGTATTCATGTGGTCTTGACCATGGACTTTAATTCTGTCTCTGCGAAACATTCATGGACTGATTCAACGTCTATGCTCGAACCATATCCGAGTGGTGGACGGGTAAGAACATGATAAGAACGTTTCTACTATTTTGTTAGGTTTCCCGTTTAGGTGGCGATGCAAGGACCGTTATACAAGGCACCGGATATTACTCAGTTTTTGGTTCACAGTTTGTTGATCTTAATCTGAGAGAGTCAGTTACATTAGATCGTGTTTCTGTAAGTTAAGCCATAGTATAATAAAGTTTGAATCCATTGTAGGATGTGGCAAAGTTTTGGCTCAATGAGGGCATAGATGGTATTCTCTTAGACAATGTTGCTTTCTATGTTGAAAACAGTGCAGAACCCACCGCCCCGATTACAAAAGAGGTGCGTTTTTCTCAGTAAATTTTATTTAATAGTTGGGTTCACAATGGTTTGCCAAATATCCGACATCACAAATTTACCTGAATGAATCAGTGGAGGTTGTTCGCAGAATTAGAAAGGTTGTCGATGAAATGTCGGAGTCCAGTGGGAAACCAAAGTAAGTTACTTGTGTGTTACTGTAAACGTCTAAGGTTATTGGCAGTTGATGCTGGTAATACAGGATATGGTATTAGTGAGAAGGAAGACCCTTCCATGCAGTATCTCGGGACGAAAGATTCGCCAGCAGCACATGTAGTTGTAAGCCGTCAGTTTGTTAAGCAGCGTGGTTGGTAAGCTGTTCTATTCGAAGCTTATTTTGTAGGAAAGCACCTCCAACTAATCCTCTCGTGATAAACAACAATATTTTGACGTATGATATGCTAAGTGTGGATGACAGAGATTCCATGGCTTTGGCAGCTGCTTCAACTACTGACCCTAGACAGTCTGATCTAGTTGCTTTGGCTTCTACGTTTCTGCTTCCAGGTGAGCGTCGTCATTTGTGTTGAATTTATTTCCTTTGCAATACTATAAACAAACTTAGTGGTGATTCCTTTAACTTGCTGAAATTCCAATTGTATGTTTCAAATAAGTGCTTATTTAGTCTTTTAAGTCACTTTACATGACGTCACGTCATTTTACACACTATTGAGTTATGTGTCATGTGTGTTCTGCAATTGAGTCTGTCGTTTGTCATAAGAAGCTTAAACAATTGTTTTTACATCGGTTAAAAACGTAGTGAAGAAGAACCATGGACTTGTTCCTGACTAAGTTCATTAGTATCCCGAGTAGTGGCAGTATTGAAGAGCTATAGAGATCTGAAGTACCGAATTATCAAGCTACAAATTACCATTTATATCCTTTTACGTGTCAAGATTACTATGTACTAATAATTGCTTTATGAAATACTGGTTTTGTTGCAGTAAAACCTTTCAGCACCAATTACGCAAGGTAACAATAAATTTACCTTTTAGCGTACGCTGAGATGTAATTATGCGAATAGTGTGTTCTGCGTTCTTTAGTAGTCCCTTTCTGCACCAATCTGTATTAAGATGTTGATGCCAGCTTAATTGGTACAACTTCATCCATCATGTATTGGATGTAGAAATTACCATGTAACTGTCTCTGGTTTCTTTCAAAGATAAGAAACAGTGAACATGACAACAATCACGGGTTCTTCAGTCTAGTCTCACCGTTACTTGACATAGTGGTGTTTAAGCCCTCTATAGAAACTTGTAAGTATGTAGAAGTACGACTTTTAATTATTCCATTTGATGTAACGTGAGACCGAAAGATTTATTGCAATATCTGCAGAGTTATGGAAACCGATGGCCCAAACGTCTAAGTAAACCGATTAGTCATTCAGAAATGTATCGCTCCAAAACAGTGTCAAACCCATCAGAACAGTTTGTGAATTTTCTAGTCAGCCACTAAAGATGTGGTGACAAATGCAAATTATCTCACGTTGCCTTATTTGATATCAGCATAATAGGAGGAATTTCGCGTAGTGGAAACTGAGATAAGAACATTGATGTCGACGGTAGTAGACAACTGTGTATAGGAAACTTAGTTCGAAGATAGCGAATGAAATTACAACTAGTAACAAGTTCAGAGCTCATCATCAAATATGGGATGAACGCATCTACATCACTGATCAGTTTTAACCTGTCTCGAACCACAGCAACTGGAAACGAATGTTCTGTCGATTTTTATGTTATTGTTCCAATAAATAACAACCTTAAGGATTTAGCATACTGTAAACACAGTAAGTGAATGGGTGAGAATGAATTCATTAACAATCTGTAAATTAGTTAGTTGTGACCATCATAATAATCCGTCACAATTACGTTACTGTGTTCTGTCGCAAATATAGTCAGTTATTCCTTTAGCAAACCCTGTACTTTCCCTGAGTTTTGCCATTTTTGGGAGTATATTTTTATGCTTGCTTTATTTCTAGGCACTTGTCTACTGTATTATGGTTCGGAGTTAAATGAGGAGACGAGAAATACCGAATTCACTGCCGATTTTTACCCGTTTGATGAGAAGACTGTGTTCACTGGCTCTAACGAAACTGATGTGCTTTTATCTCAATTAGCCATGCCTTGGGATCAATCTGGAGTTGGTTTCTCGGCGATGCTATCAAATGTTACTTCTTTTACAGAATATTTGAAAGCCTTTAAATTTAATGAAACAGTCGAGGTACGTATAGTGACTAGACTACTAGAGATCGAATATGCCAGAATATTATCGACATTTGCTCTTAATTGTTAAATATTTATTTTACGTAGGTTTTAAGGTATTAACATTAAAACTAACGGGATCGTTTGCATCAAACGCAAAATTTCCAACCACTTTTGTCATGGAAAATTTCTCAATAGATTGCATAATAAACAGTTGTTTATAAGCTTGCTATACATGTCTAAAACGTACTGTCATTTGACACTGAAAAGCAAGTAGATTACATTGTCAGAAAACGATTATTCAGCTTCAACTATCAAAGTATTAGTTGCTCACTCCTCTAGCCTTGAGTAACTGTCTGTTTTGTCCAGTACTATTCACGCATTCAACTAGGTTGATAAATGTAACCTGAAATAAGTTAATGTTACCTCAAATATGTAGTTACGGAAATTAGAAGCATTGACTGACTCCCGATATATGATCAGAGTTGCTTCAATTTTAACATTCAAAATGTGATTCTTACTATGTCGTAGTTAACCACTCACTCGAACCTCCTTTAAATTTTCACTGCCGATTTTTCTGGGTGAAACTTCCTTTTCTTGTCATTGTAGGAGTTCATTTTCTAGAAACATATGTCTTGTATAGATTATAATATTTTCAATTTCTGAAAATACAACGTGTTAACTGTGAGCATTCATTTCACTCAGTTTTCTTTATTGCTTCTTGGCTTAAAAACGTTTAGTTTATTTCGTATATTTCTTTTTCATGAGATGTTAATATCGATGTCTGTTGATGTGCATAAAATCGGTTCCCCAAGTGTTTTGTTGCATTAAAGTTGTCATGTACAAATAATGGATCATTTGTCTTCCCATCTGTTTTAGTCCGCAACATCAAGTGGTCGTGGGATTACTTCTCTCTCACTTGTTCAAGATCTTGTAGTGATCCGTAAAAATGAAAGCTTGCTATGGGGAAGTTTCAGGATGTTGCAACCCAGTCGCATTGTAAGTTGATTATTATTGTACTGATTTCTTGCATCATTTTTAATTTGACTGTCAAATTTGAGGTAATACTGCTCTTTTCAGCAATGAACCTGATACTTAGTTATTTAGATACTGCACGCAGTTACTGGGTTATCAGTTTGTATTTCATCTCACCCGAGTAGTCTTAGTGATAGTTGCACAATGTGTGTATAGACTGTAGTGGAATTATCATACTGTATGTTGAAGGGTCTATCATGCATTGTCTTTCCGTTTGTATGCAGTATTGTGTCAACGGTATGATTGACCATTGACATACTCATACACTGTTGAAGAATAATGAGTTTCATTCACACTAGGTACTTGGGTACGAACCATACTCTATGTGGGAGTGCTAATAGTACTATTTGAATTCCCAAGTCGAAGTAGGTGAATCGGGGTTCGAGCTTGAGACTTAGTGGCTAGAAGTCGAACACTTCTTGACTTATACCCCTTATCAACGGTATAATATTCATCCTAAAATGAACTAGTATTATTTGAAGTCTCTTGTAAAAATAAGGAGATGCGTACATCAAAACAATCAATAACCGAATGCTTGTTTACAGTAGTTCTGTGATTCATGTCTCTATCAGGCTTTACGAAGAAATGTTTTTGCAATTCCCTCCTTGTATTTCAGACAGAAGAGTTGAATTTTGAGGTATTTGAACGCAAAGCCGAAGGTTTCCCAGCTTTCATAATTGTTTTACGCAAAGAGTCCAATGCGGTCAGTGGGACATTTGACTTTTCTAGTGTGTGCCCTAGCATCATTCCAAAAATAATCTATCCTCCAAATAAAAATTTCCCAATTGATCAACCAGTTAGTAGTCAACGTGTTTACCTGAAATCTGATGGGCAGCCTATGATATATGTTTTCAAATGCCAATGAAATAAGTAAACTTACCGAGGTTTCATATGTATGCAGTCAATAACTGATTTGTTGTGCTTGAACTGTGAGCTACTACTTTTCAAACTTATCGAACTTTATCTGTTGTAGTACAAAATGCTTTCTTAGTTTACCGCTAAATTGTGTGCTTATGTTCATTCCGACCAATTTACAAATATATATTTCTTTGCTCAAACTCCTCAGACTTTTGTACTGTTTAAAAATGAATTGGGTATTACGCGCATTATATTGAATAAACGGTTATTATTAAATTAAGATCAGCCTAAATGACTTATATACATAATGTGGTTATTGACGAGATTTTATGAAGTGTATTAAAATGAACAAGATGATTATCATGTAATTTGAAATTTTGTAGGATTGTTTTTGTGTATCTCTATTGCTAATTTCACGAATAAATGATCTAATCACCGGGACTAAAATGGAACTTAAGTCCAAACGTTAAGGACTGTCCCAACCAGTTTAAAAATATCTTTCTCGTATAAGGTGGATGGAGGTAGTGTACTGGATGTCTTGAACTCAAATCTCGTGCTATTTGATACTCATCAATAAAAGATAACTGTAGGTTCGATCCCGTGTCACCAAACCGAACAGTCTGAGACGTTACCACTGAACTATTGGGGCAGTAACTCATCGAATTTTTTTCTACAACAGACTCGATAAACTGAATTAGGGGTGATCTTGAATTTTTAATCCAAGTAGTGAGTATTCTATCCGATCATTCAGTATGCATACTTTAGGATATACAAGTTGATCAATAAATATAGTGCCAGGAAACTAGAGCAGACATCTTGTCTAACTATGAATGCATAATATAATACACAGTTTAAAGTAAAAATGAGTCCACACTGAACATTACTGTGTTAATCTGTTTACTGGTTTATACATTGTTCAATCTCAAGTGTAAAACGGTGGATTTCATTTCTACACGTATTCATATTCTTGAGTCAGTTTGTCCTAATATTTCCTTGATACATAGTCGTCAATAAATGGCCTCAAATACAATCCATTGCCTGTCAATCGCGTGTCATCAAATCTCTTTTGTAGTTTACTGTATCAAAATTGTCAGTTGGAATATTAAAGATTCCCATTGTGAAAATTAGAACAACACATATAAGCGAACAATTGTTTTCAATTAGATCGTATATTTTGTTACACGGCATTTTATCATGAGGAAACTATGATTTGAGTGTTACACTTAATCACTACTATTCTATCAGACAGATTATCGAATGTTATCCACAATACACCCGAACTAGATGTATAATATATTATGATTATTATGTAATACGAAGATTTCAGGTGTTCATCTGTCGATGCTTTCCAACATCTACTGATTTGTACCTAATCGACATTTTTTATTTATTTTTATTTGAACACATATATTGCTACATTCGTAGAACATGTCCAAGCCACCGAATTTGGTGTTTCAAGATGGTGACACCAATTGCATTATCGTCTCTGTGCCCGAACACACGATGCTGAAACTCTGCATTACTAACATGGTGTTGCCACTGGATGTCAGGAATCCTTCGGAGACAACGATGATCAAACTCAGAGAGTCGTCTAACGTCCTCAACTCGGAGAGACCAGGTTTCACAGGCATAGAGCGAAACTGCTCTCACCGACGCGTTGTAAATCCGATCTTTTACAGCCAGACTAACATCATGAAGGCGCCAAAGATGGCCCAGATTGGCATAAGCCGCTCTGGCTTTCACTATACGTGCATTGATCTCATCACTCACACCCCCACCAGCACTTACGCAGCTACCCAGATACACGAACTTCCCGACTATTTCTATCTGCTCACCATCCAGAGTGAGTACAGGATTATGATCCTGCCAGTCCTGTAGAAGTACTTTGCATTTCGAAGGTGCAAAGCGCATACCATACCTACGGACACTGACTGCCAACTGATTAAGTGTGGATTGCATGGCTTGAGCATTATCGCACAGTAAGACAATATCATCCGCATACTCAAGGTCGAGAAGTCTTCCTCCAGGCAACAGATCCACACCGCCATTACTTACACCCATCAGAGCTGTTTCCAGAATGTCATCGATGGCAAAGTTGAAGAGGAATAGTGAGATTGGGCAGCCCTGCCTAACCCTACTGCTCGAATAGAACAATGGAGAAAGGTGGTTGTATGCCCTCACTCTGCCTGAGGTGTTTGTATATAGGGCTTTTAGGATGTTAATAAAATTCTCAGACACACCCTTCTTCAATAGACAATCCCAGAGAACAGTCCTATCTACTTTCATGTATAAGGGTTTCCAACGTTTAACTATTGATAAGAGTTTTGTTATTGTATTTTATTATTCTTACTATTATCAGTTCACCTGTCTTCCTACTATCAACTTGTACTTTTACCTATTATGTGTAGAGACTTACTCTATTTCATTGTGATTATTGACTCATATTGCCTTGATTGGTTTACATTTTCGTATAAATATTCATGTATATTAGAGTGAAGCCTGATGACGATCTAATTGAAAACAATTGATTGCTTATATGTGTTGTTCTAGTTCGAATATTACCGAGTTCACATAGAAAACACACGTGTACAATAATTGTAAACATCCTCAACTATCAGAACATTTAGTCGATAAGCTATCCACTTTACCAAACTAAGAGATTTGAACAAATTATACAGATTCCGGGAAACTACAACTAACTTCCCTAACGAATTGTGATTTTGCCATTTTCTGAGAGTCAAATCAACAAGGAATAGAGATATTACTGGTCAACATCCTCTCATCGACTACCGTTGAGGTGACTGGAAATGGTGACTCAATTATCGAGTACATTGAAATCTCATTTAATTTACTATAAATCTCATGTTTAAAAACATTTACGTAATAATGTAACCATGGATTTGTAAACGAGAACTCTACCATAATCATTATTGTTATTAGTGTTTTCGATGCACTCTGATGAACTTGCGATTTTGTCGATAGATTCTGAATGATGATTTGGCATAAACTTCTAACGAAAACATTTTTTAAATCTGTGTTGTATACACAAACGTTCACTTGTCTGTCTGGTCACGTCAAATGCATTTGTTGTTAACAATTACAAGTATAGGTCAATGTTTCCAGACAGTGTGTAGAACGATTGAAAACAGTCAATATATGAGGGTTCACTATTCACAATCGTGCACAATTAAACTATACACATGGAAATCGCTGTCATTGTAAACTGAATTTCAAATATCAAATGACGTTTGTTAAACCCTCCTTGATCACAAGTTACTGCTCATCTATCACCCTCTCACGCCACTAGCTCATATCCCTCACTACCTTATGATCCACACTTGAATGCTCCTATGTTGTCAAATAGCGATCACCTACATGGACAGTCGGTTAGCCTATGTTGTGAAAAGATCACCATACTCTGCACAACTCATGAATCCAACATTCCACATTCATCATGTTGAAGGGATTAAGATGGATATTTAGTATATATGACATATGCATAGTTTAAAATGTGTGTTATTTGATGGGTTCTCGTGGTCGAATGATCAAACGTTTGGTTGATATTGGAGTATCAGTTGTCGTCGTATTGACGTAGTATGCAAACGTTGTATGAAAACATCAATACACACACACACGCACATGTGAATATGCAGATCTATATCGATTGTGGACAGCTATCGTATCAACAAACTGGTCGATTGTCACTCGTAAATATAAGTACATTCCAAGTGTCAGCATTCACATGTGAACTGGTCAGTCTGTGTTCACATCACAGACTCTTGAATGGTTTCCTCGGAATTAGCTGCATTCACAAGTTGATAGTATTTCGCAAATCACCAGACAGCGACATTCAACAGAAATATCTCGTTCTATTTGTGATCGGTGGAGATCGATAGCTTGTTTGGAATATCCCAATAAACCGATGCAATCACTCGATCATCATCATCAACAACAACAACAACATGTGTTTACCATATATCACCAAAATAACTAAATCCATTAGCAGAAGAAACAATGTTTCATTAATCAATTGAAACATCACATTGCAACATGTTTGCGAAATGCAGATGACAACTCATTCACCTAATATGTCACTACATTCATTCTCACTAAATTTATCACTATTCACACTCTATTCAATCATCGGTCAAACTTCTAAGAGAAACACGTGTGATTTTCACATTCAAATATTCCAACTAATCAATTATCATCATAGATCGTGTATTATGCAGTAATTAATCGGAATTATGTCGATTTATAGAAGAGTGTTAGTCAGTGTTGAGCAACTTCATTGTAACTTGATGCATATATTTTATACGCGCGTGTTCACACACTCACAGATACACGAATGAATAACATGGATTAAATAACTGGTGTACACAGCTTTGATTGTTTATCCACAACTCATCTGTTACCGAATGGAAGGTGAAGAAGACCCACTGTTCTATGGGGATTGTTATATGCATGACAACCAGTTGATGTGAGAGTGAGACATGAAGTATGAGATGAATGAGAGTTGATCTGGATAAGTAAATATCTACATATGCGTGTGTGTGTGTGTGGTTGAACCTGCCTAATAATGTATTTTCATGTAATGTCAGTCTGTTAAACTGGTATATTTATCAATCTCCGAATCCAGTAGTGTCATCTGATTATTATCGTATATTTTGTCACACGGCATTTTATCATGAGGAAACTATGATTTGAGTGTTACACTTAATCACTACTATTCTATCAGACAGATTATCGAATGTTATCCACAATACACCCGAATTAGATGTATAATATATTGTGATTATTATGTAATACGAAGATTTCAGGTGTTCATCTCTCGATGCTTTCCAACATCTACTGATTTGTACCTAATCGACTACTGAGTGAGCAATGCTAATGTGGAATAAAAATGCTGCAAGTGAATTTGTGAACCAATCAACTGTCGCCATATTAATTGATCATATAATCTCAACATGCAATAATTGCTGAGAATGAATTAATGTTGAAGTTAAGAATGGAGAAAGAACCGAAAGTACAAAAGTTGTGTATGAAAACTTAAAAATGATTGGAATTTATCAAGGTACATTCTGGATGATGTACCGGTGATCAAACACCATATAAGAGATCAATTACATCTCTCTCATTTCCTGATTTGAATAGTTTGATCAGATTTCATGAACTTAAATTTCTGACCACATGTCATTCATAGTTTCATTAATGAATGTTCTCTTAATGTGATATTGTTAAGTTTAACAATATTTATCTGTTTACTGAGATTACATTGACTTGTCTTGCTCTCTTGTAAAGTTAAAATGGGATAGACTAATTCAATCCAAAACATTCACTCAGTTAATTTTACTACAATCTGAATTTCATATACATCTATTAAGATGTAATAAACAGGTCACTGTTATATGTTTGGTAATTATTATTCACCTTGTGAAAAACATGTACTTCCATTAGACTAGAATCATAAAAATTATATTTAATTTATCTTCAGTGTACTTAACTGACGACCTTTAACTTGCTTATACTATCTGAGGTCACAGGTGTTACTTTCCATTATAATATCACCACCCAAACAAACAAGTCACCTATTCAAATCATGTTCATACCTATCCCATACTTCATTTGATTGGCTAGACCATTTCATTTCAGGTCCAACTCTAGAAATTTCTAATCATAGTCTACAATATATATGTAGGTATTTAGATATACTGAGCTTGATTTTCTCAGTTCATGTACAATTCGGTTATTTGATAATCAAGTCAGTATTCAATCAAGATGGTTGAGAACCAGATAAAAATACATAGTGTTTTTCGACAAATAATACGGTTATTGAAATGCTGACTAATTAGTGTGCAATGAATATGTATGTTTCACATGAGATATTTAACAGTGCTTTATCGAAATTCGTAAGGATATTACTGTCAGATACCCACATATCCAAAACAGAATTATGCCGATAGTAGAATGGAATAGTTATCTTTAGTATATAACAGTTATAACCTCTGTCATCTTGTCATCAAATAGTTTCCAAAGAATGTTAAGGACACTACATGTTGACATACAAACAGAGAGAAATTCAAGCGATTGGATACATACATCGTTTGCGCAAAGAAACGATAGAAATTTCCATAATAGTGTTACAGCTTACCCAAAATGCTTTCATGAATGACTATATTCTATCATTAATGGGTTATTACATTGTTCCAACTGTTGAGAATTTTTAACGTTGGTTTTCAGCTTTAATTAGGTTTCGAAGTGAATTTTCGAGCAGAAACCAACTCAATTATGCCTCACACTAGTAATTAACGGTCAGATATTCTATACGGGCTCATAGACCAACATAAGCTAATCATTTCAGTTCCACAAATAAACAGTGAGAAAATCCATGAGGCACAACTGTAGTAATAATAATAATAATAATAATAATAATAAATGGTTTCTTAAGTATTCGACGTTGTTCCTAACCATGTTAGTTTTACAAGAGGTTAACTAGCTGAAGGTGGTCGGTTAAGTATCACCAACAGACAACACCACGACTTACTGTAAGAAATTTCTCGAGCTCCAGCTAGTCACTTCAGTGATCTGACATTGTGCTCCATCTGAATAGAAACAAATAAATCTATCCTCCCAACTCTCAACATCTTCCTTACTTGTATTCGAGTTATTTCATTAGAAAATATTTAAATAATAATATCGCCAGTTTCTGTCTTTTTCAAAGTAAAATGATCTATGACTGCTAAATAAATGATATAATTACAGTTAATCGTATTTTGTCGAATTCTCCATTGTGAATGATTGTCTAAATATGACGGTCGGCTGGCCTCAACCTCTATGTGTAATTCCAATGTTTTGACGTAATACTATAATCTCATATATTCTGAACGAATTAGAGCCAGCTTGATTTGTATGGTTTATCACCATTCCATACTGATCGTCAGCAAATGGCAACACAAAATTTAGGTGATCGTAGTTTATGTATCGAATAGTTATAATACGAACATGGTGCTTGTGAATATTTTAATGTGGACGATTTCAAAACATAATGTTGGACATTGCGATTACTAATTAGGCAACAATTCAGTAGTATCTAGTGCGAATATGTTCAGAAAGTTACCGACACAACTCTACACTGTAATAACAAAATTGAATCTACTGTAAGAAGAATACTTAGTAATCACATGCACACACACACACATAAAATATACCTACACGATTATCAAACTGTCATCTTTTGATAGACTATTTTACAAGAATTTTGAAGTGAATACGTGCATGCATAGAAACAGTAATAACAACTGAACAATTCATTGATTCAAACAACCGATCAAAAAAAGAATTAATTCATTGATAAGAAGCATTGGAAAATCATTTCACATCTGAATTTCAGCACACCTAGTGTTTATGCGAAGGAATTCCTTTGATCGTTGATCGACCGTCCTATTATACCACCCGTTAATAACTTTTTAACAAGTGTTTTCTTTGTGCTAACTCATAAATGTACTTTAATATTGATGGAAACGGTTTGTAGTTTA